TTTTTTTGGTTTTTCAAGACAGGGTTTCTCTGTGTAGCTTTGGGGCCTATCCTGGCACTGGCTCTGGAGACCAGGCTGGCCTTGAACTCACAGAGATCCGCCTGCCTCTGCCTCCCGAGTGCTGGGATTAAAGGTGTGTGCCACCAACACCTGGCTCTGCAGTGGCTTCTAATAGCATATCACACACACAGAGGAGCTTGTGCCTGTAGGGCAGCCTACTGAAGTAGAACCATCATGTTTCATCGGGAGCCCTGAGGCAATGGATGCCACCACCCCCATATTCCAAATTGAGACTTGTGATTGACATGACTTTCTAGGATGACAAGGGAAAGTTGGTTGGCTGGTGCATCTGATAGGTCTCTAAAACACTGAAGTGGCAAGAAACCAGCAGGCTGTGTGACTGAGGGGTGAAAGGAGGGGGCACCATATTGTACAGACATGTATAGACATAGAAGCATGAGGAAATATGCAGATTTTCATGGGCCAGAGTGAGCTCTCAGGGGCCATCTCAAATCCAGTTTGTATGTGACTCTAGCAGAAACTCTTTTTACATTCCCATAGAATATCTTAGAATAAAGTGATCAGTTCCTCAGAAAAATACTTACAATTTGTTTGAATTTCATTTAACACATACCAATTTGAAAATCATTGGACAAATTTAGAATATTCAACTTTCAATTCATTACTGTGATATATTTATCCATCAGTTTGCTTTTAATAAGACAGGCTTTTATTGTTATTTGTTTGTTTGTTTGTTTGAGACAATGTCTCACCATGCATACTTGGTTGATCTGGTGCTCACTATGTAGATCAGGTTAGCCTCAACCTCATAGAAATTTGCCTGCCTTTGTCTCCTAAGTGCTGAAATTAAAGACATTCGTGGGCACGCACACCATGCCCTGCCTAAGAGTTTATTTTCATATTAGTTTTAAATTTTCAATTTTCATAATTGTGGTGGTTTGAATGAAAGTGGCTCCCAGAGGCTCATAGGGAGTGGCACCTTTAGGAGGTGTGGCCTTGTTGGAGCATGTGTGTCAGGTGGTCAAGCCAGGCCAAGTGTCACAGACTCTTTCTGCTGCCTAGAACTCTCAGCTCCTTCTCCAGCACCATGTCTGCCTGTGTGCTGCCATGTGTCCTGCCATGATGAAAATGGACTAAACCTCTGAACTGTAAGCTAGCCCAATTAAATGTTTTTCTTCAAAAGCGTTGCCATGGTCATGGTGTCTCATTACAGCAATAAAATCCGAAGACAATAATCCATAAGGAAATACATTTATGAACATCTCTTTGATGTTTATAACTGCAGAAAAATAATCAAGGCTCTGCTAAACACAACTGATCTTATCTATCTTCTTGTGACTTATCATTCCATTGTGGGACTTCAGAATATAGTTCTGTGAACATCAGCATATCTACAAAGACACTCCATCAGTGAGGTCCAACAGTCACATGAATCAAGGCATTAGATTCCCTAATTATTGAGGCATGACACAAGCTACCAAAGCCCACTAAGAGATACAAGTATAACATGACATTGTAGGGACTGGAGAGATGGCTTAGCAGTTAAGAGCACTTGCTGTTCTTGCAGAGGACCTGGGTTTGATTCCCAGCACCCACACAGAAGTTCATAGCTGTAACTCCAATTCCAGAAGATCTAACATCTCTTCTTGCCTCTGGAGGAACTAAGCATGTGGTAGTGTACAGACATACCCAGACACATAAAATGAAATTTAAATGACATTGTAAAAGATACATTACAGGTAAATGGAACATTGTCATTAAGGCTGAATAATATGAAAGAAATTAGTTAAATATGATGAGTTGAAAACAAAGAAACTTTATACTTATCATGCAAATAAACAACTCTCTGAAAGAGCATCTAGTCATAAACGTGATAAAGCATTTTAAAGATAGTGATCAAACATAAAATACCAGGTATATGAAATATAACTGTGAGAGCAATTAACTATAAAAACAAACAAAAATGTATTCTTTTTAGACGGGTTTTTTATTTTCCGAAGAAAATATTTTTAAAAATCATGGAAGAAAAAAAATACTTGTTATAGTAACTCTTTAATAAATTTTCATTTGTGTGTATGTGTGGGTGCCTGCTTGTCTGTATGTGCACCGTGTGTATGCAGGCCAGAAGAGGGTGTCAGAGCTCTTGGGACTGGAGCTACCTAATAGGAGTGCTGGAAACTGAACCCAGATCCTCAGCAAGAACAGCAAGTGTTCATAACTACTGTGAGCCATCTCTTCAGTTTCATCAAAATGGATGTTAAAGAGACAGTCAAAACCCAAATCCCCATGCGGGCATTGTGATGCACACCTGTACTCCTGACACTCAGAAAGCTGAGGCATAAGGTTTTCACCTCTAAAGCCAGACTACATGAGTCCCTATCTAAAAAGAAAAGGGGCCGGGCGTTGGTGGCACACGCCTTTAATCCCAGCACTCGGGAGGCAGATGCAGGCGGATCTCTGTGAGTTCGAGGCCAGCCTGGTCTCCAGAGCAAGTGCCACAATAGGCTCCAAAGCTACACAGAGAAACCCTGTCTCGAAAAACCAAAAAATAAAATAAAATAAAATAAAATAAAATAAAATAAAGGGGGGGAGGAGGATTTTCAATTCCTCATTACAAAAACATTTTCCCTTCAAATCAATGGAATTTAATTCATACAGTTTTTGGAAGAGAAGCAATTAGTCTTCATCCTAAACAAACAGAAGGAAGCAGCTCTCCTGTATGTTGTTCATAAAGCTATTTTTAGCAGACAGTGCATGACAGGTGATACTACTTCAGGCAATAGGGACATTGGAGCAGTAACGAACAGTCACTGGATTCTAAGGACATGGTCTATGAAGCCATGGTCACCACTGGCAGTCTTTGCCACCCTCCTTGAGCACCACAGTGAAGCTCAACTCCAAACTCTGCTGTTCTTGGCATCTTCTTGTAAAATAACTAACAGCCATATTGCATTGGGGCATTATTAAGTTTAAATATCAACTGATGGGATTAACTTTCCTAAAGGAGTTTAGAGGGCAGAAGCATTTAAGGATAAGCAATTATTGGTCATCATAAGAAAATAACATCAGTGTTCTGCTTTCCCCAAAGTCGGGAAAACAAAGAAAACTTCATTCTGAATCTAAAGACAGCAGGAAAGGGATTGTGCCATGAACATGATACATGTGTAAATACCATATGAGGCAGTATGAATGGATACAGTCGTTATTTATACTAAGCAAGTCAAGTCAGGTTTTGAACTGAGTCATGAGCAAGGAACCCAACCAAGAGCTTTTCCTCCATGGGTCCTGACTGACTACAACTTCTAAAAGAATTGTGACATCCTTCTAAACTGCTCACTTTCATAATTCAGCTCAATAACTCAACAAACACTTCCAGGGGGAAAGTCCCTAAGGGTTAATGTGACTTCTGTGTTTATCTTTGCTCGGCTACCATGGCAACATTAGAATTCATTCAGTTCCTCATCTCCCAAGCTTCAGAGATGCTGCAGCCTTTGCAGTCCTCAAACATGACTCTGCCCCCAAGCTCAGGAAAATGGGTCTCAGAAGTCACTTTGTCTCTGTGCTTCACTTCTGACTTTGTGGCTCTTCTTTTTATAAAAGGTTGTGGTTCAGTCAACTTTTC